ACTTCTATGTATTCATGCCTAAATTAATAACTGAATGCAGGATACCTCAGTAAAGATTCATTAGCACTCAGATTACCCGTGTGTCATGTTTACTCTCTTGTTTATTACTATGAAAATATCACAGACAGGAAATTGAGATAAAAAATATTTTATTGGAGTGTATTTCACATCATATTATATGATTAGAAATGCACAGTTCACACGTGTGCTTTATTCAGCTGCATCTTTTCCCTGTAGAACAAAAGAAAACAGTACATATGGGTCAGTGTGTATAAAAACGGAGCATTCAGTGAAAACAAATCAAATTATTGTCTGTAGCCAACTTCATGAAATTCGAAGCAGAATTGGGATATTTCTTCTTATAACTTTGTGCAAAGTCTAAAGTGCGTGTACATTTACCTTGCCAGAGTCGCGGCTCTTAGCTCTCAGCTTGTTGACCTGGGACTCGGCAATATCGGCACGTTCCTCGGCCTCCTCAAGCTCATGCTGGATCTTCCTGTACTTGGACAGATGGACATTGGCCTGCTCCTCCTGTAACATTGTAATAAGTCAAAATTTCTTAGTGTCCAAAACAATGACAGTTTGTTTGCACAAAACTAAAATCTGACATAGAGTTGAGGGTTTTTTTTTCTGTGTGTGGTCCTTACCGCTTCCTCAGCCTGCCTCTTGTAGGCCTTCACCTTGAGCTGCAGCTTGTCAACCAGATCCTGCAGCCTGTTAATGTTCTTCTTGTCCTCCTCAGTCTATAAAAGAAAACACATTTTAAAAAATGTGATCCACTGGTTGCTGGAATAGGCTCCAGCCCCCCGCGACCCTGATAAGGATAAGTGGAACAGAATGGATGGATGTAAAATGTTAATGTGCTTTACCTGATAGGTGAGCTCCTTCACTCTCCTCTCATATTTGCGGACACCCTTAACAGCATCTGCACCACGCCTCTGCTCAGCTTCAACCTCAGTCTCCAGCTCACGCACCTTCAGAAAATTGAGCAAACTTTTAAAATCCATGGTTTATATATGTGTGTTTTCACACATATTTTTCAGCTGCGCATTCTTCTTACCCTGGACTCAAGTTTCTGGAGCTGTTTCTTGCCACCCTTCATAGCCAGATTCTCAGCCTCATCCAGGCGGTGCTGCAGGTCCTTAACAGCAGCCTCAAGGTTCTTCTTCATCCTCTCCAGGTGAGCGCTAGTGTCCTGCTCCTTCTTCAGCTCCTCAGCCATCACAGCAGCCTGAAAAACATGACCTCAATTAACAGAGTGATGAAAACAAAGCTGAGTTGTACCGTCGTAGTGGACATGTGTATAAACCTACATCAGTGATGGCCTTCTTGGCCTTCTCCTCTGCATTTCTTGCTTCCTGAACGGTGTCATCCACTTCACTCTGGATCTGAACCAGGTCAGCCTCAAGCTTCTTCTTGGTATTCAGAAGGCTTGTGTTCTAAGAAATGGAAAGTTTACATTTTAGGATGTTCATTTTAAGTTTGTCTAAAAAGAACAATTAAAGTGTCTTTTCAAAAATGTTCACCTGAGAGTGCAGCAGACCAACACGCTCGCTGGCGTCCACCAGCTCCTGCTCAGCGATTTTGCGGCTTCTCTCTGTCTGTTCCAGAGCAGCTCTGAGCTCCTCAATTTCAGCTACCATGAGACCGTTCCTGCGCTCCACCATAGCAGCTTGTTCCTTGAGGTCATCCTGAGACCTGACAGCATCATCCAGGTGCAGTTGTGCATCCTAGTAAAAAAGAATATCAAAATTATATTCACATGAATAAAAAAATGCACTTACACAGAATGTGTACAACAGCTATGTGCTCTATCATACCTTCAGCTGTGCCTGGACATTTCTCAGCTGTTTCTGGGACTCAGCAGCCTGGCGATTAGCATGGCTCAGCTGAATCTCCATCTCATTCAGATCACCCTCCATCTTCTTCTTGATTCTCAGGGCATCATTCCTGCTCCTGACCTCAGAATCCAGAGTGCTCTGCATGGAGTCAGTCACTCTCTGGCTGTTCCTCTTGATCTGCTCAATCTCTTCATCTTTCTCTGCCAGCTTCCTGTCTACTTCACCTTTGACCTGGTTGAGCTCCAGCTGAACACGCAGGATCTTAGACTCTTCATGCTCCAGAGTTCCCTAATCATATGAAAGAATGAATATGAAAAGATATTCATCTCTGCATTTGTAGATTTTACTTGTGTATAACTGAATATTTATTTCCAGAGGAGCTCCTCAGACAAAGATTTACCTCAGCCTCTTCAAGAGCTGTCTGGATCTCAGACTTCTCTGTCTCCACCTGCTTCTTGGCCTTCTCCAGCTCATGAATGCTCTTTCCAGTCTCACCAATCTGTTCAGTCAGATCGGAAATCTCCTCTGCAGAGGCATGTGTGATATTGTTTAGTCTTAAGACATTAAAAATGAACACACGTTACTGTTACTTGCACAGCATAGTAGGAACTCACGTTGCAGGTTCTTGTTTTCACGCTTCATGGTCTCCAGCTGATCCAAGGCTTCCTCATAGGAGTTCTTCATCTTGAACAGTTCAGTGCTGAGAGAACGAGCCTCCTTCTGAGATCCTTCCACCTCTGCCTGACCCTCCTCGTACTTCTGTTTCCACTCTGCCAACACCTATATATACATTCGATGCAGTTATTCACCCATACTAAGAGAAACCATGAGTTTGTGTCTTGTTCAAGCAAAGTAAATGATGGTACCTTGTCAAAGTTCCTCTGCTTCTTGTCAAGGTTAGCGGCCAGGCCATTAGCTCTCTCCACATCAATCATGAGGTCCTCCACTTCACTCTGGAGCCTCTGTTTGGTCTTCTCCAGAGAAGCACACTTGGAGTTAACGGCCTCGATCTGCTCCTCTGCCTCCTGAAGGCGCTGGGCCAGCTTTTTCCTTTAAAAAAAAACAGTGTTTCAGTAAAAGCTTATTGTTTTACTTGTTTTTCGCTCACATTCTTACTAACTAAATACTCACTTGGCTTCCTCAAGCTCCTCAGTGCGCTGGATAGCATCAGTTTCATATTTGCTTCTCCACTGAGCCACCTCACTGTTGGCCTTGGACATTGAACGCTGCAGCTCAGCCTTGGCCTCCTGCTCCTCTTCAAACTGTTCCCTCAGCAGGTCACAGTCGTGGCGAGCTGATTGCAGTGCATGGGCAAGGGCATTCTTGGCCTGGTGTAAGACACATCATTGCATGAGAAAAATGTCGGAATCACCAACAAAAAACTATACGCACTTCACTGAAATATTTTTTTTTTTTGTGGCGCCAGAGTCCGGCAGCCTCACCTCTGTCAGTGCGCCCCAGGGTGGCTGTGGCTACAATGTAGCTTGCCATCACCAGTGTGTGAATGTGTGTGTGAATGGGTGGATGACTGGATGTGTAAAGCGCTTTGGGGTCCTTAGGGACTAAGTAAAGCGCTATATAAATACAGGCCATTTACCATTTATGATGGATTCAAACTTGGGCCTTACAGCATAGGAATCACCTGCCCTGTCTGGTAAGCCATACCAGCCTCCATTGAAGTGTTTCTTACCTTAATCTCCTCTTCAGTGTGTCTCTTCAGCTCCTCGATCTGCTGTGTGAAGGCCTGTTTGCCTCTGGTCAGCTGAGAGACGAGAGCTTCTTTCTCTTCAATCTGGCGGCTGAACTCACCTTGTGTAAAAATAGTCATCAAACTTTAGTTTGTGTTCAGTTTTTCTATCGAAAACAGAAGATCACTATAAAGGACTAAGTTCAGATCACTGCATGTTGTCTTATACAAACCATTTTCAGTAAGCAGACGTGCTCTCTGTGCACCCAAATCATTGATCTGACGGACATTTTCATCATTTTTGGCCTTCAGTTCACTAAGTTGGTCCTCAAGAGTACGGCACATCTTTTCAAGATTTCCCTAGAGAGGGAGAAAAAGATTCATCAGTGACAAGATGTTATAACATCACTATTTGCTGGTGATTTAAGTATTAAAATAAATGGATTTTGTTGTTTACCTTTGCTTTAGCGACAGCTTCCATGTTGCTGGACAGGTCGTCAATCTCCATCTTGTATTCACTCTTTTCCTTCTCAAGCTTCTGCTTGACACGCTGGAGGTTGTCGATCTGCTCTCCCAGCTCAGCAACGCTGTCAGCCTGCTTCTTGCGCAGAGCAGCAGCGGTGGCTTCATGCTGCAGAGTAGCCTCCTCCAGGTCACGACGGAGCTTCTGGAACTCAGCTTCACGCTTCTTGTTCATCTCAATCTGAGCAGCAGTTGCACCACCGGCTTCCTCCAGCCTTTCACTGATCTCTTCAAGTTCCCTGGAGAGGTCAGCTTTCTGCTTCTCAACCTTGGCACGAGCAGCACGTTCAGCCTCAATCTCCTCCTCCAGCTCTTCAATACGAGCCTGTTGGATTAGATGTGTGTCTCCTTTAAGTAAACTTTCAAATTTAAAGTACGACGCAGAAAATATGTATGGACTATCATTTGATGTAACATCATGTATCATTTACCTGAAGCTCCTTGATCTTCTTCTGAAGCTGGGCACCCATTGACTGCTCATCCTCAATCTTGCTAAGGAGCTGACTGATTTCAAAGTCTTTCCTGTGAAAATAATAAGTTGCATAGTTGATAAATGTACATATTACGTCCAATCCTTAGAAGGATGCTTGTCATAAAGGGAGAAAAAATAAAAGTACTTTTTCAGTTTCTCATCAGACTGCTGCTTGTCATTCTCAAGATCCATAATGGATTCCTGGGCGAGCTTCAGATCACCCTCCAGCTTCCTCTTGGCTCTCTCAAGGTCCATACGAAGCTTCTTCTCTTGTTCCAGAGAACCCTCAAGCTGCACAATGACATGACTTTGTTATTCTCTTGTTCAAGAAGAGGTTTCTTTTCTCTCTCTGTTTTGCCATCACCTGTGACATTTTCAACTTACATCATCAACTTGCTGCTCAAGCTTGGTCTTGGACTTGGTCAGAGTGTTGACTTTGTCTTCCTCAG